GCCTGAGACCAGGGTTTGCTGCCCTAAAACACTCTGTTCAGGCCACCAAAATGAAGGTCTGCGAAGCGAGAGCAAAGGACTTTCCACCTCCTCGCTTCCCAGTCTTCCCAGGGTTCATATAGGGAGCCAGGCCATTTTCAGAATCTTCTGGATTTGAGCTGATCGAGTTCCTATTGAAGGGTATATGTTCTCGTTGGCGAGTGCGTCACCACCCGCATCAAAGCATCACCTTCCAGAGTTTACGTATATCTTTCTCGAGCCACACATGCACAGCAAACCACAGCTATTACGTCTCATTCGTGCTTTGAACTGGTATAGGTGTGTAAGAGGTATAGCAACATAGCATTCATACGGACCCACGATAGCTACAATTCTGTTCCCAGGTATCGCGCGCATGAGGCTTCAAAGCTGTGGATCGCTGTGCGTGTGTAGAGGTTATCGAGCGGTTGACGGAAAGGGAACTTGAAGTACTATACCTGGTAGCTGCACTATAGCTACCCTGGGTCTCTATACCTGGCAAGGTGCCAACTACACCTTTCCATTCAGATGATGCAAATGATGCAAATTGCATTTCTTGCATCACCACCCCTCAAAAATCACCTCCAACACAACCTCAAAAACATTCCCTCGACGCACCCTCCTCCCCCAGCATGTGCCGAGTTTACGTGCACCTTTTGCGGGCCACCCACCCCAGACCCCCTAACTACTCACTTCGTTCGCCAAACACAACTCCGCTGGCGCCTTCTACGAAGGCTGGCTTTCGTAATTTAGGGCCATCTTGCTTTGACTTGCCTTCTATCAAACAATCATGCAAGTGGTTAAGTGGAACATGACAAGGGGGGTTGAAAGGTGAAGTGAAACGTGTTTTTCCTTTTCGCGGATACCGCGGACCGGAGAGAACAAGATTCTTGGTTCATGCAAGCGCGGTGGACTTTGTCTCACCCATGAAAATCCGGCTGTACCGCCGCGGTACCCTCAACCACCATTTGAAAGCAGCCAAACTCCGGTGGGAGGTCAAACTCTCGGACCAAATTGTGCCGAGACAATGGCTTGTGCCAGCAGCCTGTTTAAACCCGGGCTGTAGATCTTAGCGCGCGCAGTTTTGAACTGCAGGCTGTCTCCCTCTCTGCCAGCTAAAGCCACATGAGCTATAGAAGATGTCAGACACAGACGTTCCACCACGAAGGCCTTCAGCGGAAGTGATGGCAGTCCAAGAGAACATGACTCGCAAGATGGGAGTGTGAGGAGGGCTTCGCCACACAAGCCAACCCGACCTTCCACGCTGACGCAAGGAACGAAGCCAATGAAGGAAGTTTACATGGAGCAGGGAGAAGGGATGTCCACAACCCCACCGAGGATGCAAGGTAGCACTCCAAGTATCCACCTCCTTCCCTTGTTGGTTGCGAAGCTTCGTTGGGATCTCACAGCGAAGAGCGTCCACACCGAAGACGTTGAATCTCAGAAAAGAAAGCAACAGCCTGAAGGTTGCCAACAGCGACAGCCAAGCAGACTTGATCCAAGTCAACAAGCACGATGGCTGCATCGTGGTCTATGGCATGAACAGCGAACTCCACAGGCAACGCTCGGCCGAGCTCCCTTCAAGCTGTGGGCAATGCTCTTGCGATGCGGAGACCTCTTAGTCCAGTCATCAGATGTTTCAGGAGAGAGACTCTGGGATCTTGGTTGCTGTCCTGGAGCAGCTCCTGTGTTGCTCCTTCACGCCCGTCCTGGCTTGGAGTACCATGGGTTCGGTCTTCCTTCTCAAGTTGCTGGTGATCGCGGTTTCTGCTACCGGGGCATCTCCATGAATACTGATCATACCCGCTATCAGATGGACGTTCTTTTTTTTTCGAGATGAGTTCGAGCAAGATGTTGGACAAGTTGTTTGGCGCTACGGTTGGCCTTCAGTTCGTCTTCTGGATCCTGCCATGAGGTTGATGAAGCAGATCCGGTCGGAAGACAGCATGACTAGTTCGATCTTGCTGATGGCATCTTCACACTACTTGTACATTGGAGACGCAAGCTGCCTTCCACTGAGAGAGCCACGCACCCGCCTCTACGCATGATTGCCAACCGATGGTCCTTCCGACTCACTTCTGCCAGCTGGTCCTGTCAAGCCAGTGTCTTTATGGGAAGAGGGGCTCTGGAGTGGTACGAGTACGTTGACTCTTCTAGAGCGCTTCGTTTGGGCGTCTCCAAGACCATCTACTCTACTGGCACTGTCAACTCGCTTCGTTCCGCGTCTCCTGAGTTGCTTGGCCTACGCTGCTCTCTTCTCTGGAGTTGTGCGACTTGGCAAGGTTGTTGTCAACGACCTGCAACGAGATCCATCCTTCCAACGGCTCATCATCAAGGTTGAAGGTCTTGCAAACCTGTTCGATGCTTCTTGCTCAATGGCGCTTCAGAAGGATGTACCTCCTTCTTCTTGGACGGCATCTCTCTTCCTTCTCAAGTGAGGAGGCCACTTCTCTCCGGAGAACGATCGGACTCTTCCCTTCTCTACCGCCTGCGATCAAGACTTGGCTTGTCACTCCTGCGAGACTTGTTCGACTCACTTCTACTGGCAAGGAGGTACTTCACACGAACTTGCAGATCCGCCATCAAGGGTTGTCTGCTTGTGATATTCTACGGAGATGGACTCCACAGCTTGAAGGGAGCTCGGCCGAGTTCATGTACTCCGCGCGAGGCGCGGTTTCAGAGGGTGCAGGAGGTGGCGGATACCCTTGACCTCTGCCTCTGCCGGTTGCCTCCTGAGCGACTGTGGCGGGAGCAGGGATCGATGAACGCGGCGGTCGTTCAGGCATCGGCTTGGGTTTCGGTACCTGGGCCGCAGGCGGCGGTGGCGGAGGTTTTGGCGGTCCAGGAGGTGGGGTTGTGAAGAATCCGAAAGGCAAGAATTCTTCTACCCGTCCCGATTCAACGTATGTTTGTCTGCGTTAAGAAGATGCCAACTTGGCTCGAGCACGCGAAGTTCCACTGCGGAATAAGCCCCTCTCAAGAGACAGAAGTCCAATAGCCATTGTCTCGTGATCCATGAGCTGCAAGGCAGATTCCAGAATGTAGTGCAGATCTCTAAGACCAAGCCAAAAGAGACAGCTTTGTGGCACTGGTTGTTGCAACTACAGCATCCGCTTTTCAACACAGTCTTGATTCTGTTTGGACACTTGTCATTGGTGGCAGCACAAGAATCCACAGATCCTTGATCACCAGGACTCCGCTCTTGGACTGGTCCTCTGTTTCCGTGAGCGGCAGCGGAGGTTCGTCTTTTTTTGAGTGGACCACAGTCGCGAACCGCCCTCCTGTTCCTGTTGTGCAAGCTCTCATGCACTGTTCCGAAGTAGTCAGGAACGTGCTGAGGCAAGCAAGGGGAACTTGGGTTGAAGAAGCGTTCAGTCGTGAGGCGAACAGCTGCCCAGTCCATCTCCCATGCCATGTTGAGGTGCTGGAAGATCCATGACCATGTTTTCACAGGCGACCTGTCTGGGACTGCAATTTTTCAGGACCCACGAACAACTCACCACCCCCCCCCCCAAAACCACCATGATCCACACCTTTAAATGTACTCTCCCTAGACCTCCAACCACCTCCTGAGGTGGTTGGGGTGGGTTTGGGGGGTCTAACCACCTCCTGAGGAGATGGTCCAGGAGCCCTAGGGTCTAAACATCATTGGATCCTGCGAGCTGGAGGGTGTTTGACCCGGGCTGTGGACCCGAACCAAAGCTTCACCGAACGGGTCCACGACTAGGACGAACGGAGCCGAAGACCAAACAAACAAGGCCACTGGGCACGGGGCTGAAGAAGAAGTCCTTCTCCATCCAATGTTTCGACTGCGAAGAACACCCCTTTTTGTCAAGAAAAGGTCAAGTGATAGCCCCTGAGATAGAGATTCAGGGGTGTCTATGAAACGACTCCTAAAGTGGATCCTGGAAGGTGTCGCAGTGTGGTATTTCGATCTATTCAGTATACCGATCTAGACAATTGACAAAGATAGACTTACAGAAGCCAACCGACACAAAGAAGCTTCCACCAACGCTTGCAGGACCCAAGAACGACCTTCGACGAGTCGACCCCACGTTTGTGCGTCCCCCGGGGCGTTGTTCCTGTCCGAGCTCCGAAAAAAGGGTCCCGCCACCCGCCACTCGGAAACACGGACCGAGGTCACCAGTCGCGGTGCCAGGACATGACGTCATGATGGTCCACTTTTCGATCCTCGATGCGGCCGAGGTGAGCTGGACTAGGAGCCTACCAGATGCGAGGTCCCGACCGGTCTGGGACTGCCGGACTGGCCGGACGGCCGACCGGGGTGGTGGAAAAGGGGGGATCAATGTAAGCATATATGGCAGTCCCATGGAGTGTATGGGTATAATTACATCCGTACCTATACCTTCTAATTCTACTATAGGAGCCATCCTCTTTCGGTCTTGCCTCATGATGAAGAGCGGTGAATCTTAGGGATGACACAAAGGTTTTGGTTCTTTACGTTGCTATAGCGGTACTGGGTCCTGGTACTTTCTGTGTCATGAAATAAGTGAAGAAAAGCCGAGTAGCACGTCGTTCGCCTAACTCCTACCAAACAACGGGGGTCATGTTGTGGACGTCTACCTCCTGCATGTTGGGTCACGTAAAGTGTTTGGATGCACATATTGCCTTCTTGGTCCAAGCAAGTCGACTAGTCAAACAACCGAGCGTTGAAAACCACATGGTTTTTTCTTGACTGCTGGTGCCCACACGAGTTCGGCTCCAGCATTCAGCTTGTGGATCTGAGTCATGCATGCTAAAACATGCTCAAACCTTTGGTACAGTATATATATAGTATATTCAATTCCTTGCACCACAGCCAACCTGCTTCCACAGCCCGGCTACTGCTTCTTCAGAAGGGTTTTTGCTTCGATCCCATCTGATCTTGCACTGATCCCAATGGTGTGGAAGCCATCAGACGTGCTTGAAAGAGGGGTCCATGGTGTGTGTGTGTGTGTGTGTCTAATCCGCTGAATTCAAACATGTCTCAACCAGAAACAGTTCTGAGAACGTTCCTATTGTATGGCGCCAGCTTGAGATCCTTTGGGGAAACATCCATGTGTTTCTGGTTGAGACAGGATTTCCAGGTAAGAATGTATCAAAGACAAGATGTTAATGAAGCGTTCTCTAACTTGACAAGTCTCGAGGAGTCTCTGAAAATCTAATTCAACCTTTATCCCGCATTCTCCCCACCAAAACGCGGCTTAAAGGTTCTTTGCGCGATCCGACGCCCAAGCCACATATTCCATATCCCTAGACTTCCAAGACCATGAAAAAAAAATGGAACAACGACCTGGTGTTTGTAATGTAAACTCCTTAGTTGATTCGGTATGGAGCCTATGAAATTCATGGTGGGCGAAGGGATCTGGTCTTCCACTACAGCTTAAGGCTTGGCCCTGCACGGCCCATCCCGTCTCACCGACGGTGTCGGTCTCGGTGTCGGTCTCCCCCCACCCCGAACCTCTGGCCAACCTAGTAGCTTCTTGCTACTGGTAGAGCCTGGCCTCCAACCTACTAGCGATTTCGGTGTATGTCAATCAACAGGTCGACGCCTTGTGACATGGGTAAGGGAAGTGTGTGACCCTATGCTAGTCTCTGCAGGTTTTCTCTGAGGGCAAACTGGGGTCCAGGAAACTCCGGATACCTTCCATCAAAACTATACCCAGACCATCCATGGGACTGGAATATTTACCTACATTAGTCCCACTTCCAGTCCCATGGATGGTCTGGGATAGTTCACCCAAAACGAGCTCACTCCACCTTCCGTCGTTCGCCATACCTTCATTCAGAATGAAGTCACCCAATCAATCGGCAGGAGAAGTGGGGGGCTCTGGCGTCCAAGTACAGCACTTCACCGGTCCGGTGGGTTCGAACTCCGGGTGAATGATAGGCGCACCGATATACAGGCTATACAGGCGCGACAAGATCACTTGGAGGATCCAGGTTTTCTGTTCGGAACGACATGAACACCCTTGTGGAACATGACCCATCCATCCCCCATCCCATGTCCCATGGTAACTCTCCCAGTTCCATGGATGGGCCGACCAATACACCGCAAGACAGGACCAACATCCGAACCCGTCGCCCACACCAGAGACGTACCCCCCCTTCGTGGGTGGCTTCACGGGTCCCGGGACCGTCCGGGTCCCGGTCGAGACCGTGTGGAGACCGGTGCCGAGGATCGGGTTGAACGGACCAGGGGTAGACCTTCTTGTAGCGGATGTCCTGCGCGTCGCCGCGGCGCCGTCGGAAGCTCCGGTCTGTCCCAGGAAGTGCCCGGTAAGACCCGTTGGAAGACCGTGGACCGTGGACAGGGGTGTTGAAGTGAAGTGAAGGCCTGGCCGGGGTCTGAGACCCAGGAAATCGGTTTGACTAGGGGTCTGAAGTCTGAAATCATCTGAAATCCCAAGCAGAAGCATGTAGTTTTACTGAATAGACTCGACTACACGAACCAGCTTCAACTGCTTTATATAGAGATTTGTGGGTCCTAAGTGCTTTCTTTCGCTGGCCTAATGGGCGGATTCCAACCAATGGGACGGACATCTGGAGCTGAAGACGACCTGGAAACGTAGCTCTGAACATATGGCCCCAGTACTGGCCCCAGTTGTACCTGTGGGTGTTTTTTTGTCTCGGGCATAGAGTCAACGGGTCGACCTGTCCCATGTTCTAAGATGTTCTAAGGTACGAACGAAGGAGGGTCCAGGTACATTGACTCCTGAAACCATCCCACATTGACCCACACATCAAGTGACCAGCCAGGCAAGTTGGCTTCTACAGCACTAGGGCTCCTGGCCCATCTCCTCAGAAGGTGGTTGGACCCCCCTGGCACCCACCCCAACCATCTTTGAAACGGAGGTAGTTGGAGCCCTAGGGCAGTGATACATTGCTGTTTGCATGTCTCCCCTTCTTGAACATTCTTCATTGAAGATCCTCCCCCCATTTTCGCTCCGTGAGTTCACAGCCCACCAAAAGCTGTCCCTTCAAACCTAAGGATTGGTGAGAAACCCCAGACTCCTCCATGCCACTGGGCCATATTCTATCCGCAATCAGGTAACCAACAGATGGTCTTTATATACGAAACAACTGTCTATAGGTGCACATATCAGGTGTCACCCTGGAAGTTCAGTTCGACTACATTTGGCACCACCGAAGTACAGGCAATCCCTTCTTTCTGATATAAAGACAAGTCTTTAAATCTGGACTCCCAGGGCATACCCATATCTACCCAACAAATGCTTTTGATCATGGCTTCGTGATGCTTCGTGGTATCTCGATCTTTCTCCACTTCGCCGTCCTCGTAGTCGGCGGGCAGGGACAAGCTGGGCTTCGCCATCTGAAAGCCACGCCACATGCGACGCCCAGAGTAGTACTTGTGGGCATACCTGGCTGGACGCCCGGAGGGGCTGGTTTCGGACACCGGGACAAACATCTTCCGGATCGTCTCCATGCCGGATTCACCCAGTGAGGGAAAATATAACATCATCCCAATAAGCAACATCAGGTTGACCATTCATGGGAGATACCTCGGTTGACCGAAATTCGGTGCGACCCGATAGGAATAGGTGTTCCCTTGGACAAAATTTGGGGCGCCCACCCATCTGTTTTAATATGTTTTAATTGTCTTTACCAGCTACTACCGGACCAAACAACGTAGTTTCTCCAACTTGAGGTCTTCACAGAAGACGAATTGGATACTCATTTCTCCAACTTGAGGTCTTCACAAACGAATTGGATACTCACCAAATGGAAGAAAAAATACAAATAGATGTTCCTCTAGCAGGCAGGCAATCACAAGATATCACGGGCTCCATCTGCGTCGCAAAGCCAGAAACTCTATACCCTAAGGGTCCAGGACCATCCGAGAAACTCGGATGTCCTGAGTTGCAGGCAACGACCATTCTCAGGTTTCGTAACGAAACTCCTCCGGTTCGACCATCCGAGCAATGGATGGTGGACCCTTAGCCCAGAACTTCCAACGTCGAAGTTAAACTTAGCCAATGAGAAACGTCGAAGTTAAACTTAGCCTTTGAAGATTAGGGTTAGGATATAGGGATCCAGTCGTACCAGACCTCAGGTACGATGTCTTCGACACCGACACCATGTGACCGGTGGCGTGTGGCGTCCAGTCGTCGTCGTCGTTCCCCACCGGGGTCGCTTCGGTTCCACGGTTCGGATCGGCCGAGAGGCTCTCCACCGGAGTACATCTTGGTGAAATCGAAGGGCGTCCCTTCCTTCCACCTCAGATACCACTCCAGGGGGCTGCCGTACTGGCCGATCAGGCCAGGGGTGGTTTAGGGGGGATCAATGTGCATATCGGGCAGGCATCTATGTGTCTGGCGAAGAATTGGGCCAAGCACGATCTGGTCGGAGGATCAGGTCCGTCCAACCGGTCGACCTAGACTCGGGACGGACAGACCGGTCCTGGCGTTCGACGTCGCCCGGAGAGCTGCCCCCCGGGATCACTTGGAACCAGGACACCCAGGTACGGGTAGTCCCTGGTATGGTATGCTCATGTACGCTCTCTGTGTCTACTCACTGGATCTGCCTTGTGAGATGAGCATTGGGATTACACTCTCGCACTGCCGAAAACACTCCATGTATGACTGTATGACTATATACCGTTGAGCCCCAAATTCAACCACCCCGAAAGTAGGTCAATACCTGGAGTCTGAACGTAGCTCTGAAAATGGGTACAAGTACCTATTTCTATAGGGCCATATCCTGTTTGCTAAGGTACTTTGGAGGTTCAAGGTATGTCAGGTGAAGGTATGTGAGTCCCACAGAGGGCCCAGCAACACAGGTGGCAACACCACTGGAAGGCGATGCCCAGGCACCACTTCTTGCTCTTGGCCACGTCAAACAGGTTGGGAGACAAGATGAAGTTGGCCTGAAGGAGCGAGCGGGAAGATGTAAAAAACCTTACTCTGACTGGACTGATGCTCCACGAGATGAAGTGTTCTTAGAAACGCAAGTTGCTCTACAATTTCGATCCTTATGTCTATTCTTATAACATCTATGTTTTCAATTATAACTTAAACGCTGACTTAACGCAAATAAAATCAAGAAAACCACAGAAACAACCTGAGTTCCCTTGTCTGCTCTTGGTATCAGCTCTGACAAGGACCGGATGCCCCGAGCTGCGCCCCGAGCGGAAGGACCGGAGGTCGTTCCGCGGTACGTCACATGGGAGCAGTCGTAGCATGTCGTACCTGTTATACGGTCACGTCACATGTCCCGTTTCGGTACGAAGTCGGGTCAAGGACTATCCCATACCCAGACACGACGACCCATGGGACTGCCATATATGCCGCCCCATTGACCCCCAAAACCACCCCAATGTAGGCATATATGGCAGTCCCATGGAGTGTCTGGGATATAGGCCCAGTACCCCAAGTTACGGATCCTTTTGCAGGTCCCTTAACCTCTCTTGGTCTCTAGCCGCGCTGATCCCACTCAGGGCCATTTTGAAATATAGGTGTGCAGCTCCAATAGGGAGACCTCCCAGTTCGACCTGCTGGAAAGGGAGATGGGGTCTCCCGGTCTCCCCAAATACAAATTGACTATTTTGACTCAACTCTCCAACTTCTGGAACGTCCGCAACGGACTCAGACGCAATGAAGGACTCGACTTCACCCCAACCCAAACCCCTCACTGCCTTGTCGCTGGCATCGACCTCACGGATGGTGTACATGTTGGCCTCAGAGCGACCGAAGCGGTCTCCGTCTCCCGGTCAGACCCCGGTAGATCGCGGGTCTCCAGGTGCCCGGCGGCCGACTGCCAAGTCATGTTCCAGCAGGCCCAAGGGATGGTTTATGGACACCCCGAATCACAGCTGTTTGGGGCCATATATAAACACCCCGACAGGAGGGTCCTGGTTGATGTTTTACTTTTGTATGCCATATAGTGCCGATCAATTGACCTCCCTGGCACCACTTCAACTGATCGGCAGTCCTATGGCAGTCCCAGACAGGTCGTGTCTGGGTGTAGGGCTCTAAATGACCTTAGAAGCCTTAGAAGGTGTTTGGAAAGGGTTTAGAGCGTCCAGTCATACCTTCTGTACGGAGCTACGAAAAAGGAGCCCTACATCGATGAGTCGATGATGTCAGCGACACAGCAGGAGCCCTGCAGAATCACATGACAACCAGAACAAGCATGAACAATCCTAGCGCTTCCAAGGGGTGCCCAATGGAGACCTGTAAGTAGTGTGGAGATATCCATTGGTGACCCCGAACGGAAGCAGCTGGAACCCATGGGGCGTTCGTTTTCACCAGCAGGTGATCCGCTAGCTTCACTCCTGAAAAACCTGAGAAAAAACCATGCAAACGACGTTGCTGTCGTTCTGTCCAACATTCGCCCCACACTTGAGGTTCAACTTTGGACCCTCTGTTCCTCATACCCGAAATCGTTGGTACCTTGCAAAATGATGCAACATGGACATAACATGACATAACCCAAGCAAAAAGGAGCTACGACTCTGAGTCCATTCTGGACTGTTTCATTTCCCCATTTCCTGAAGTACGCACTCTTACGAACAGGTCGACTCCCCATAGGAACCCGGACTGATCAGACCTAGACCCCAGCGACTGACCCACAGCACCGATCCAGCAAGGTGGCCACCACCGTCATATGATCGTCGGGCAAGCGTTGGGCGGCCCAGATGGCCGAGGTCCCGGTGGGGTCGCTGAGAATTTGAAAGGCCCAGGCCTCAGCTCACCGGTGGCGTTCGGCACCGACTCCTACCTACAGAGGTTAAGTGACCTGAACTAGGACCCTACAGGGGTACCCAACTAGGATAGTCGAACTAGAGTTCTTCAACCTCTGCTGGTATAGGGATCCAGCTGTATACACCTAACAAAGTACGACTGGATCCCTAGGGTACCCCGGTAGCCCAGCATCCCAACGGAGAAAAACGCCCGAGGCTCGGAGCCCGAGGAACTCGGGGCGACAGTGACTACGTCGACGTTGGGAGTGTGTCGGAGTGAATCCAAAGGAAAAAGCTTGGGGAATAACAAGGTGGTGAAGGGGATGTGACCTATAGAGATTCAAGTGAACAAATGATGAATTAAAACATCAAAACCTCTCCACGAACCTTTCCTTTTGGAGATGTAAAGCAATTCTGGTAGATCAATCTATGTTAAAACAACTTAACGGATGCAAATGCATGCAAATGTCTTTCTGAATGGTTTGTTTCACCTGCCTTCAGCACGACCAGGAGGGAAGGACTGTGAGGGGTGGATGGAACAAAAAGTGAGCGGCCTTCTCTCTCAAGGTCTAGCTTCTTGGGCAAAGCATGAAAGAATATCGAAGAGCCTGGTGCAAACATGTGATATCAATTAACATCAATTAACTATAATTGATATCATAGTGGATTTCTAAGTGATTTCGATAGGCCTCCCCCCAACAACAACAACAACAACAACAACAACAACAACACCAGCAGCAGCAGCAGCAACAACAACAACAACAACAACATGATGATGTTGAATCATCAATCCATCCACTTCAATCCTCCGGCCCAGCACCTGAAACTGCTGTGGAGCCCTCTTCTCCCAGCCTCGTCGGGATCGGCCACCACCAGGGATTCGCCGGAGCCCTCGAAGGAGTCGGGCGGCCCATAGAAGCCTCGGTCGTAGAATACGCAGTGAGGAGGCTGAACCCCCTCGGAAAACCAGAGCGAAGCATGACGAACCATGGGTCTGAAAAGAACCAAAGAACATCAATAAAATCACCAGGTGTTGGTTTACTAGATGTTACCAGAAGTCGACTTTGGACAACAAAAAGAATCCTCCAACTCAAGGCGAGGCGAGTTAGCGGCCTGGCCTGGCGCCCATAGGTGTGTTTGAGCTGGCAAGCATATGCTAGCCCTGCTAGCCCACCATGGTAACTATGCCAGTCGCATGGAGCGTCTTTCGATGTCCGCAAGTCCTTCGGCATCACAGCTGAAAGACCTCGTTCCCAGCGAAACACCATGAACACACACCCTATAGTCAAACAACCGGGTGCCCAGCCCTGCCTCCTTCCCATCGCCCCCGGCTTCGATTGTGAAAAAAACCTACGAATCCGACTAGGGCACCCCAAAGCAACAGGGTTTTCTGAACATGTCAAGCAGAAAGAACCATAGAAACAAATACATAGAAACACAGTCACCACAACACGTGAATCACCCGCAAACAAATCATATAGAACTTCGAATCATCCCCCAAACAGCCGGAACCTGAATTCAGACACGACTTCCATGGGACTGGCATACATTGACCCCTGACATCAACCACCCCTGGCCGTTTTGAAGGCAGTCCGGACTGCCAATCCCAGTGTCGAACGTCGAACCCATGGCATCGAGGTGCCGTACTTCGTTGCCAGGGATCCCATCAACTCCACCGCGGCACCTGAGGACGCGCTCCGGGGGATCGGTACTGTCCGTGAGTCCGGTGAAGCTCGGTAAAGCTCGTGGTGAGCTCCTGGTGTTGTTCCACCTTGCTTGGATGGTCCGGTGAGCTCCGTGGTCAGATCAAAGCGACCAACGGAGCCCGTAATTCCGCGTCCACGGAGCCTTTTGAACATCAAATTGTCCTGGCACCAGTGTCACAGTGGGAGCAAGACATCACCTGTCTGAGAAGGGACGACAGGTCACCCGTTGGATCCCTCGAACGCTGCAAGAACGCTGGCGCCAGCTCCGTGGAGGGGTGAGTCTGAGATGTACCTGTCACTGTTCTGGGGACTAACCAACAAAAAGATCAGGCCAGGGGCCAGGGGTGGACTGTATCTTTTTCAGGGGTCAATGGTGTAATATGCAAGTCCCATGGAGTGTCAGGGTTCTTTTCTTCTCAGGGTGGATGAAAAGAGAGTGTAATGGATGGAGAGCACAGGCTTATCAGGAATGATAGCTAGATCTAGCTACTAGCTAGTACATCCAAGAAGTGAGGTTGGCAGGGTCCGCCCACGTCCGTTTCGAGTCGAGTACCTCCTCCGTTCCATCCTCCAAAGAACAAAACGGTACGGCCGTTCGGCGAGTTGCGAGAGGACGTGGTGCGTTCCATCGCCAAGTACGACAGCGTGTCAATGCCTCGAGTCAGGACGTCCGTGTCACGTGTCGACCACCGGCACGACCACTTTTAGCGACGACAGGGTCGAGGAGGATGCTGGAACTGCAGAATTGAATGAAGCGTCTTCGTTCATGTTCAGAAGCATTCAGAAGCACACACTCAGGTTTTAGGTTCTGAAGCATCTTCATGCGCATGTGAGGAGAGAATTAACTGCACTGTAATCTGTACTATACAGCACTAGTTGATCATCATGGTGGATAGGGAGAGTGGAAGCACTGTTTCAGCTCAGATACAAGAGTCAAAGCTGGTCAATGTCATGTCTTCAGAACTGTAAACAACATGATCCCCAGCATTCCTGGCCCACCATTCTATAACCCAGACACGACTAATGGGACTGCCATAGGACTGCAAATCAATTGGGGTGGTGGTGCCAGGGGGGGTGAATGGGGTGGCAGTCCCAACTGGGAGTCCCATGAGTCACCAGGTCACCAGGTCACAAAACCAGGTCACCAGGTCGAAACTCCAATGGTTTCAATGGTCGAAACTCAGCTTCAGGTCTAGCAAGTCTGCAAGGTCACCCGCGTCAGCATCGGTCTACCAGCTTTGGCGCCATCGGAATGCTCTGGGTGGTTTGCTCATCCGGGTAAGCATCTTTTGATGGCTCTGCAATACATTCCTGACCTCTGAAATTGGGGAGGGATACACAAATTGGGAATCTCTTTAGGGATTGTTGAAATTGGAGAATTCAATGAAAGGGGGTGAACAAAGACACAAAATGTTCAGGAGTTAATAGTGTTAGTTGTGAATGGGTGGAAGCGTGACATACATAGACTAGAAAATTGCCCAGAAAGCTTTTCAAAGGCAGTACAGTAATTATTGCAGAAAGAAATGTGTGACCCAAATCGGGAGCAGTTAATCCGATGATGACACTACGTCACTACTTCAAACACCTTCTACCCTTGTGCTACACTTGAGTTCTCCAACTGATGTTCTCCAACGGTTCCCTGATTCTGTGCTGCCGCAGAACTATGGTCCATGGTGCCCCAAGGCATGATCCAAGACACTCATGAGTGCCTCTCCCACCTTTCGGCCAGGCTCACATCCCACCTGCACGAGAGAGTGAAAAAAAAGCTAAAAGGGATCAGAACGCTCAAGGTTCGCAGCAGACCTTCAGCGAACTCAGACCTTCAGAGTGAGCCGAATTCCCAGGTAAGTGCAGTTAGGAAAGTCCACCACGCATTAACATGGAACCTGTTGGCATGGACCTTAGGAAGACGGTTTTCCTCTACAACCCCACGTGGTTTTCAGGTTCCATGTGGGTCTCTTCCAGGGCCTAAATAGCGCCACTAGGCAGGTTTGGTCAACCAGGCAGCAGTGCAATCTGCTGTTCTCTGAACGGTGACGATTGCAACTGGAACAACCACACCAATATCAAGAGCAATATGTAAGGGAAGCAAGTGGGAACCATATTTCCACATTGACCGTGCTTGTTTCTTCCTGTTGATGCCAAGTCTTCCGGTCACTGGCAAATGGAGTAACTAGCTCTAGAATCTAACATTGTCTATTCTGGAACCTACAACATGGATGGGTGGTGTATTTTGGACACTTCAGTGATGGAGTGGACAAGCACCCCTATCCTCAATTCGCCAACCCTTTGGAAACCCTCCAAGAAACCACGTTTGCTCGACACCTGCAGAGGTTGCACACATGTGTCCTGAAAACGCTTCTTTAAAAAATGGCCTTTGGAAGATCCTTTGGAAACATGGTCAATATTCTGCGAAATCCTTTGGAAACTTGGCCCAGTTGTTACACACCCGCTTCAAACAGACCCCGCAAAACGGTCTGTACGTAGAACGACGCCGAACCGAACCCGGCCGTGGAGTTCTTGCCGCAGGTGCCGAAGACTGCGCCGCAGGTGGATTCCCCGACGGCCACCTGGGTGGTGAAGCAAAGGTTCAGTAAAGCTGGTGGGGGTCTGTGGAGGGTTTTTGGCCGTGGTTGTTAGGAAGAGCTGGATTTTGAGGGGGAAAAGGAGATAGGACCCCAGAAATGCTTCTGGCTCAAATGCTCTCTCTAAGACTCTAAAATAGTTTGCACACTTGTTTAACAGATATGCCTGACCATGTCGCAAAAGTTTCGAGAACAATGAGCTCAGATCTCTGTGCTTTAATAGATCAGGCCTGCCACACTCTCGACCCCTGCAAAGGGCCAAGGGGCTCCATGTTCGTTGATGACCCCATAGGAACTGCTCTGGTAGCCAAAGGTGTGCTTCACCTGACGTGCCACGAGCCAGACAACGGCCCATCTCTTCAGGTGACCGGTGGCCACAGACTTCGACGTTCCGGGTGCTGCCCCCGGTAGCACCATGGAAGCGAAACGGAGGTGGTTGGGGTTGGAGCCCTAGCCCAGACACGACCCATGGGACTGGTATATTTACCTACATTGGGGTGGTTTTGGGGGTCAATTTAGGCATATATGGTGTACATGGAGTGTCTGGGTAGGGTTCCTTCCCGCCTCGGAACCTCCAGCTCTACTGAACTTCGCATCTCTCTTGTTGTGGCGGGGAGGGGGGAGGGGGGACACCCCAATCCCCCAAAAAAAACAGTGACACTCTGGCTCACTCACATGGAGTTCACCACCTGTTTGTAGACAAAAATAGTCTTCACAGGGGCCATGCCATCCAATTCCATGTTTGTACAACTTTATCGATGGACCAGGTAGCTTGGCAGCTTAGGAGGCCATCCTTCGCGGTCTGAGCCATCCTTCATCCAGGGTCCACCCTTAAGAAAAAAACAAACGAAAGAAAACAGGCAACAAGCTGCTGCGGGAGGCGTAAGGCATTCAGTACAAACTGGATGATCCTTGCATGTGCTTTGCTATAGAGCCATGTTCCCTGAGAACAACATGTGGAGGCAATAAATCCCATCCAAGGACACCAACTTCATCATATTTCTGTTCCAGTAACAGTGGATGATGTTGATTAGTATATATAAAGGCTTTGTTCCAAAGAATACAAATAATTGGACAGTGACAGACCCAAACGATACTTACTAAACCTCTATTAGCTGTCAAGGGGGCTGGCTCCGGCATAGCTAAATGTCGGATGATGGATAGATGATTGATGAGACCTGATTCTCCCTATTGGTTATCCTCACCTGTGATATCCTACGACTGATGAACTGGCACAAACCCCAAGCGGATGGGGACCCGACTCTCCCTTATAGTCGTCGCCATTGGCTCCTCCTGCTCACCTCGTCTCGATCTTGTTTATTTCATCCAATGCTACAGCTTACAGTACCCGTGACGTCTGAGGGAGTTCTTCACTGATCGCCTTCTTGGCCTTCTCAATGAAAAAAATGCTAATACGCAAGCATGTATGTTCTCATGAGCTCGGCCTTCAGATCACCAGTTTAAAAATGTCTCCTGGCCCTCTGGACTTGCCCAAGCACTCATGGACCCTCGTTTTGAGATGTTTTGAGGGGCATGCTGTTATAGAAACTTTGCTTTCCAACACGTAGCAAGTAGCAAGAAAAATTCAGTGATATTGATATTGAATGGATATGTTGTTCTTTTGCAGCAGTAGGACCAGTTGCCTAATGGGTCAGGCGTTGTGATCCGAAGACCTGCAATGTCTTGGGCATCCAATCCTTGGTTGTTTCGACTCCACCCTGGTCCGCTCCTTAATTGCCTCCCAAGTCGTCCACCATGTTCCACAAAAGCATTACCCTTGCACAAACGACCAAAAAACACACCTCAAAAATCCAACCCCTAAACTAACAACCCCCACCGTAGGGGTGTGGAGCCCACGACCAGACGCCAAACGCGTCTGAAGTCACTTGTGGTGTCGGCGGTCGAGCGTCTAGGTGGGTCGACTTTAGTGCTGGAGCCATCGAGGGCGTCGTCGCTTCTCCACAACAGAGCGCGCGGGTAGCGCGTTCCCTTTTTCTTCCGGCCTGGTCGATGTATCCGATGGGCTCATAGACAGGGTACCCGGTCGTCTCAGAAGATGGCATGTAGTCTGGTCCCATGGCAGACCTCGGGATGAAAGGTTGGGATCTGGAGCTCTATTGTGCACTGGTCTCAAACATCCATTGGATGGGCAAAGAAAGAAAGATCCTGCCCTAGTCTTCCTTGGACCCAACCTCGCAACACAGGGGGCGAAGTCTCTAGAACAGAAGTTTGGGGCCAAAACCCCCAAAGATCCCAAAGCTGCTGGAGTGGTCCGAGACCAACTTTTGAAGGGGCCGTGAAACGTTTCACCGCGCATTGCGCGGCTTGCGGACGGACTGGGTGGGCCTGCAGTGGATCTAGGAACCGGTGCCGAGGCGACCAGGAACCGGTGTCCAGAAGTAAGTACCTGTAGTCAACCTGTTCGTACCTCCCAAAATGGGGCCCAAGTATATACCTGCATGGTTTTTGGGGTCATGTCCCATGTTCTAAGGTACTGTTGAGGGTCAGGGGCAGGTGCAGTAAAATTGGTTTTAAATAGGGAAAACCACACAATTGTATTTTTGAGAGTCAAGGGATGTGGTTGGGGTTCTGTAGGGCCAATACACATCCATGTCACTGATATATCGGCCCATTCTGTCAGAAGAAACATGGTCGGTCGGCAGAATGTCACCCCCAAGTCGAGAAACCAGCAGCATGCCTTAAGGTACATTGATTTGGGCAATGAATGTATACTCACACTTCCAATGACATGTTTGTTGCAGCTCAAAAAAAAGGGAGATCATTGAATGAAACTGGGATCCTTCCCACCCAAACAGCGTGCGAGCGGCTCAAGCACCTGTTTTCAATTGTTTTCAACAGAACCTGCGTCGGAATTCCAAAGGCCATGTTCCTGTTCTTGACCAAATGTGGCATGTGGCTCTACAGTCGATCACCTCTTTCTTTACGAAAGACACCTGCACTCTTTTGCCACCCAGGTTCCACCTCTGGAGCCACACCTTGGGCCTCCGGACCCCAAGTAGCGTGGGAAGCTCTCCTGCTTTTCGACCCCCGAGTCGCAGGAGGGAAAACGCGGGGAAGGCGACCGAATGGCGCCGCGCCAGGGACCTGCTGGGTGTGAGACCTCAAGCCCTAGGGCTCCAGTCGTACCTGTGTTTCGAAGGTGGGACTGGGGTGGGTGCCAGGGTCTAAATATGTCCAAATAGCTTCTGAGGTACGACAGGAACCCGTTGGGCCAGAATTTGGACCCGGAATCCACAGGGTTTGCTTCGTGGCCCCAAACCGATCCCTGTGAGCTTCGTGACCAAACCGGTTCCTTCGTCCGGGAACCAAGGGATCCGTAGATGAGGGGTAGATGACAAGAACCGCAGCCTCTCAGCGAGAAAACCCATGGGCAAATGAACACTCCCTAGGGCTCCAACCACCTCCTGAGAAGGTGGTTAGGGTGAGTTTGGGGGGTCTAACCACCTTCTCAGGAGGTGGTTGGAGCCCTAGGGACTGGATGGAATTGTAGCGAACTGCGGGCATGAGTCTTTGAACGTCCATGAGAATGATCACGAAGGCATGACATTGGGAGACAAAAGACTCCCCCGTCATGGACAAAGACTCGCCGCTTTTGACAAAGGCTCTCACAGTTTCATGAAGGAACATCCTCTCAGTTCGGGCTATCACATTGAATTTGCTGCTTTGCATCCTCTACTTCCTGTCTAATGTAGACTCTCTTGATTAAAGAATGTATACATTTGGATGGTAAAGCCTCTTGAAAGATAATAAAGTGATCAAGATTGACATGATGTCTGGCCTCCCCCGATTTGGACATTCTCACTCTCCCCACCTCCATCCTGTCAGTGCACTCACCACTCCGCGCCCCAACCACGGCGGAACCGTGGTTGACCCGGTCAGGCGGTCCGGCGTGTAGAAGATGGGTCGCTGTGCGCCAGCCGGATGGTCTGCTGCTGGCACATGGATCAAACGGGCCTCAGCTCCGAAAAACCGGCACCGTGGTTCGATGGCTCGGCCTGCAAACCGCGCCCGCCGTCTTCGGAATCGGCGCCAGGCGCCGGATTCACCCTGCCGTTGGATGAATCCCCTGCCGGGGATTCACCCTGCCAGGAACAGGCAACATCAAGGATCACCCAAGATTTGCCCGCCAAAACAGCAGGTGCATGGGGAAGTTGGGTAGGGGAGGAAGAGTTCATCGGTTCATCCTTTGGAGAACTTTCCTATCGGCAAACAGGTCACGAGCCACCGATTTCGGCCAGTGGGTAAAATCTCGTCACGATGAATGTGAGCTGGTTTCAGGCCTGCAACCATTATCCACTGGGCCCTTGGAATGGAATAACCTAAGATCCACTTCACAGTCATCCACAGGGCCCTTCTTCCACCCTCGGATCTCGTGCCGTGTGCTGGTTCGGAATCGTGTGACTTCCAGGGTCGACCGGTCAGTCCCAAAAAAACACACCAAAAGCTCGAGTGGATCATGGGTACCCCGTCCAGGTGGGTACCCATGGTACCCTCCAAAAGGTACTCCATTTGAAACTCCAGCTTTTTCCAATGACCTTTTCAGAACTGGACTTTCCAGAGGGTAAGGTATACCTGGTGCCGATCCATTCAACGACGGGCTCTGGCTTCACAAAGCTCATGGACAAAGGTGATTCACCGGAACCCCAGTAGGTGTGGTAATGTGATAATTTATATGAGGGGAGAGCCCAATCCTGTTAAAATTCTACCCTACCCCTCCAAACATGGGAATGAAAAAACCATGGCTAGGAATGGCTAGGACACGAATCTTCCGATGGGGTCATGGTCTGTGTCGAAGAGAGACCTACTTCACCCGACAGGTAGCAACCAGTGGTTTGAAAGACTAAGACATACTAGTTCCTGGAACGAAGACTTATAAATAAGACTACCTACCACATAAGTCCTACAATAAGACTTAGACTCTAAGACTTATAAATAAGACAAAGACTTGAGTTCCCTTTGACAGGTACTACACATAAGTCCTCGTTCCTTATATCGTGGTCATAGCGATCCTTTGAGGTCGAGCCCATTCATCCGATTCCTCGGCGTTTTCACACAAACAGACACACCCCACACCCAAACCTTCCATACCGATGAAGCCAGGGGGTGGTTGAAACGCGATCAATGTACCAGCACCTGACTCTACTCAGCTGACACCTCTAAGTCTCCATTGCCACCGTAACTCGGAGACCTGTAGTCGCTCTAGCTGGCATGTACAGCGTGAGACTCCGGCCACCCGGCTCCTCACCCGCCCTACCCCCCCCAAACGCCGTCCCCGGGGCATCGTTGTGGGGATCGCCATCGTCGGAGTGGGAGACCAAGACGGAGCCATCCTGCGCGCCGATCCGCAGCGGTTTTGGGTTCCAACAGCCGTGCCAAAGCCGAACTGGAGCAAGTCACCAGCTTACAGTAGTTGGACAAAAGGAGGCAAGACCACATCACCTTTCGTACTCGATTTCTGGGAGCCTTGACGGGTTGTTTCTATCAACTCCACCCATCCAAGCCAGGTCCACACATGGCCGAACAAACAACTTCACGGCCTTGGTGGCTTTCTTCCCCACCGCGAAGACGGTACCTGAGGTCGCGTTTCAAAGAACCTGGAACTCCAGGTAAGTTTTGACATGGCGGGAGACGGACCGGCGACACCTCCTGAGTTCGGTTTGGAAAATAGACCAGTCTACCCAGCCAGGGGGGTGCCTCTCTGGTTCCTTGGCAAGTGTTGGGCGATTTTCTCAGACATCACTAGCCCATATAAAAATGAAGGGGACAAACAATCGAAGAGAGCCGATGTAAACTTCCATGCGCCGCCAGGGCGACTTTTCTGAAGATAACCTCTCGCCAGGGAGTTGTTGGAAACACGAACGCATGCGATGCGGGTATCTAGAGGCTAGAAATGAGCAAAGTCTTGACCCCTGGCAATGGATCTACTGAGAGAAAAACATTCCCATTGGAGAGGAACCATTTTGTTTAAACACATCTTCAAACGAAACCACGACTTTCACATAGCTGTTTGCCGGTTTCAGGATCTGCTTAAGCTATCACCAGGAGTCACGTATCGCTCGCTCCAAACGCCCGAAGGAACGGAGGAACGGAGGGCGTCAGTGCGAAGAACATCACATCACACTCACTTGGTATAGGGACGAGCCACACCAGCCTGGCCTCCATGTGACACTGGTCGTGTTATGTCGTATTTGTTCTTTTTTGGGCGGTTTGGGGGAGGCCAACTCCATGTCATGCACTTACCATGCCAAACACAAGGGCACCGTGGACTGCTCGCACTCCCATTCCAGGCCCAGATGCAGGCGTGCACACCGTCGAGGCTGGCGAGGAAGAGGACCGCGGCCAGGTAGCGGAGCGTCATGGCGACGGCGCTTTTGCGAACAAGTGAATGTGGGTGAATAAGGCAAATCTACTGGCAAATCTATAGTTTCATGAGCGTTAATTTATTAATGATGTGATACTAAGCTTCATGTTCATGTAACTTTAAGTTATTGGATGTTATGGGTTCTGCAGACTGGAACTTGCGAATCAATCACTACTGTTGGAGGTCAGCCTCTGTACATCAATTCAAGCGCGCGAAGGTTGCCACACAGGCCACAGACACGTCACGTCACCTTGCAGTAAGGTGATATTATACTCCCTAGACTTCCAACACCATGTAAAATGTTTGACCTGGCTTTGTAGGGTAAAATCCTTAGTAAAGCAATGGTGGTTTGGGAAAGCCTATAATATAAGTCAATGGTGATTAATCGATTGGAAGCGTAGGATAATTAGATTAGGATACTCATACCTGGCACCCAACGAACCAAATCCAGCCATTGAGCAGAGGTAAGGTTGCCCTGTGCCCCGGTGCCCACCCAGCCCTATCCAAAGTGCTTTCCCCAGCATCCGCGTCCTACAACGGCTACGTTTTCATGGTTGAAAATCCCAGACTATATGATACAAATTGATATAGTACCTGTTGACGACTCTGTTGCCTCCCCAAGTTTCGGAGAATGAAGGTTCACCGTGGTTCAATCTTGAATCAAACAGTGCAACCCAAAAGGTCAGCTACCTGGAAACCCAATCTGAACCAGAACCAGGTTAATTGGTCGAGTCGAGCCTTTACATCGGAAGCGGCTGGGGACTTCAATCCAGAACTGCTTCAACCGGGGCCTGATTTGTGGTCCGCTTCTCTTCTACGGTCGGGCTGACCGTAGACTGGCCCAGGTTCTGACGAGTGCCGAGTGCCAATCCTTTTGAAAGGGGACGGAAGGATTGCGTCCGACCTGAAGAAGCAGGTTTGTGGGAGCGGGTCGAAACTGGAATCTGTTCGATTGGCACCGAAGGGCAATCTACGGCAATCTACAGCATATCCAAACAATTCCCAATCAGTGTGGGATATGATTCCATGATACTCTATGATTCCCAATCAGGCACCGGTTGCAACAGCCTGGACCCGACGTCGTTCGTACTCTAGAACATGGGACCTGACCCCTAATATCAATATTCTGAGGTACGAACGGGTCGAATCCAGATGGATATATATATATTAATATGTTATATCATGTTTGAGGTTTGGGGAAACTTCAATGTTTGTGGTTGATTTTTTTATAGGGTCATGTCCCATTTTCTAAGGTATTCGGAGGGTCAATGTAGATCCAGAGGTTGAAGGACCCTATAGACTATCCATGACTATCCCATAGGTACCCCAGTATGTATCCTATATAAGGTCACATCAACCTCTCATGATAACTCTGACTGATGTGAGCTATACAGTTTTTTTCCGTCGACAGAATCTCTTCTCAGCCGGTGCATTCTGGGTTCTTCAACCATCTCCCTCAAGAGGTTTCACTTCACAAACGCCGTGGATGGCATGGCATAACTACATTGACCCCTTTTCAACCACCTCAATGCATGTAAATATACGCCAGTCACTATGCCAGTTCCTTGGAGTGTCTGGGACCTGGGAATTGTTTCAACGATTTGTCAAGCACTTTTGCGTGCCAGGGTCATTGTTTGCTTTTTGCAAACACCGAGCACCAACTTGCCTGCAAAGTTCCCTGTCCTTCCACTCGGCTCAGCAGCACTGTAGTGGCATCCGGCTGATGGCCATGCTATTCGCATGCGTTGAAGGGGGGGGCTTCGTGATGGTTACCTTGGCTATACCTTGGAGTCTAATTGTCTGAAGGTATGTTGGGTCCATCTAAGGATCTTGGACCCTCCACAGCAGGGGGTCGACCCTCTACAACAGTGATTTTTGACGGTCTGTATCCTTAACTTATAGGGCACCAAATATGAACAGGAATAAACGAAGACACATGGGCAACCGTGCTGGCTCTTTGCATCGAAAAGCCTGTCGCCGACTGCTGCGGAGCAAGATTTCCACTGGTATCATTGGTATATATCTTTGAGCCCTGAGAATCCGGGACCGCAAAACACATATATAGGGTTTGGTTCGGGTCCAGACCCCTGCCTTTCGGTGGAGAAGGTCCGACCCTGGCCCGAGTCTTAGGGAGAGAGAGTTGTGTTCCGTGCGGTCACTGTACGCCTTGTGATGTTGAGATCATCTCTGCCACTGGGACGTGAGTTATTACATTGTTGTGTATACTTCCACCTAGAACCTGAATGACCCCCTGGCCCTGATTTTTCTATGAAACGGGTTCCAGGTATATCTAGTCACCTAAGTCTCCTTCGACCTCCTTCGACCTAAGTCGCCGCACGCGCGTCGGTTTGGTGGACCAAAACCAAGTCGGCGGTAGAAATGTGCAATGATTACTTGACTTCTTAAACAAGCTACTAATTCCATCAAATTCCTGCTTCTACCTCCTGCCCTTTTTGCATCCTTGACAACGAGTTACAGTCTGCAATTTCTCTGATCCGACGCCTCCGGGCTGCGGGGGACACCTCCGGCCCAAACCACCCCTTGCAATATCCCTTGTTTTTAGAAGGTCCCGATCGTTCGGGCGGAGCAACAGAAAAAGGTCAAAAAGGGGTTGGCCAGTTTCGCCGGCACGGCGCCAGCGTTTTCAAAGCTGCGACTGGCGTCTACGGCTGAGACACCCTTGTCCATCCATCTCAGTCCTTCCATAGGTTCAAGGGATAGAGGATAGAGCATGGAACCCATCCAAAAATGGTTTCAATCCTGGAATCATGCAACATTTACCTGATTCAGAAATGTTCCACAATTTTGGAGATGTGCATATAGATTTGCAATTCTTCGGTGAAACATGTGGTGAAGGTCGATCGTGATAAGATGGACCGCTGCTCAATCCGATCCAGCACACAAAGTGGTGTATACCGAATCCTACGTGAGCAACTTTTGACTGGATTTGGCCCCAAGCTTTAATGCAGACTCTTGATTTTAGTATACCCACCATTTGGATTGGAAAACCTCTTCCTATGGGTGGGCTATGGTGGGCTTAATCAAGATATTCGGCGATTGAATCCTTTCCAATCTGTTCATCTGAAATCAGTCCGCCTGCTGCAAGAACTTTTCCACCGGCGAACACCACACGCTTGAAACGCAGCCTCACTTCGAGATGGGCGTGTTCCTTCCTCCCCGTTGTGTCAGACGGCCTCCGCCTGGCACCCGAAGGCACCCCACGGGACTCAAACCGGAAACGGGCCCCGTCTGCCCGATGTCAGCTCACCGTCTTCGGCAGCTGCCACGGGCGGAGGATGAGCTGTCGCTGTCGCTGTCCGTGTCGGTGTCGGAGTCCATGCAGTCCGAAGTTGACGAGGACATCCAATCCGCGCTGTCCGAGGTCGCCACGGCCCGGGCGCGAGCCCTTGGACATGCGGCACGGACCTGCGCACGCCGCTTTGACAAGAAGTGGCGAATGTCGGCTTGGAGCCGGCGGCTCAGAAGTGGCATGCGAAAGGAAGCGAAGTAGATTGGGGTCGATTGGATCCAGTTGAGGATGCCTCGCTCAAACTCTGATTGCCACGCACTCCACCAAGAGCTGTCTGGGTGCAGGTACAGCGATCTAAGGGAATCCTGACCATGGACACGACATACCATGCGTGAACGGATCACGACTGCTTCCCCAAAGAAACTCTAATGTTAATCCAGTTGGCTCAGGCTCCTAGAAGCCTCTTTAAAATTAAATCAATAATTCAAGCGTTCATGTCGTTTTTCGTGTGTTGATTTCAACCGACGGGAGTCCTGAAACATGAGAAAATGCTTGAAGCTCAGAGCATGCATTGGGCCCACGACAAAGCCCACCTTCTCCAAGTGCAACCACCTGACCTTCCGCGGAAGGTCTTCACCCGACCAGAGCTGTAGGCGCGCATTCACGACGGACCTCGGTTGACGAACGGAGAGTGAGATTCCCTTACCCTGGCCTTCAGATTGACCATGTTAAAAGTGGCTGACCTGGTTTTGTAGCAAACTCGAGATCCTTATAGTAAAACAATTAAATAGTTGTTCTGCAAAGACCAAAAAATACGATTGTGGCTTGAACCCTAGCTTAATTTGCGCTGCGTGTTGTGTTGCTGTCCCCGCTGATCGAAACGCACTGCATGGAGCTCCCACTTTTGGAGTCTGACCCTGGCGCACTCTGATGACCCTATCCCAAAAAAAAATTCAAGTAAATAGCAGTTCGTATGGCAGGAGGGTTGGGGCACTGGTGCTAAAAGGGCCACCGGGCCTCAAAGGTTCAATGTCAAAAGGTCAATATCAATCCAAAGTCTACACGCTCTTTCATGAACATCCTCAATGCTCCGGTCTTAGCACTACAAGAACGAAGCCATGCTAACTGACTCCCTCAGTTTGCATTGGCAAAAAGGTTAGCAACTGTTTTTGTGGGGAAATCCACCACATTTTGCAGGTTACCCCGTTTTCCAGGTAGGCTGGTCAGACATTCGGACATCCTTGACACCATCCTGATCAGACCCGACCCCGACACCGATCAGCGAGCCCGAGGCTGCAAATCCACACACCCCTCATCGGGGTCGACCCCGAGGACAAGATGGGTCGGAAGGGGTCGACCTGGGCTTCTCATGGAAGAAAGTGATCGTTAAGAGAAGTTCCTTGACCCATTTTATTTAAAGTACCTGAATGGGACAGTCCGAACAAACAACTGGCACAACGGGTACACATTTTGCATGTTCTGAGTTATGAACGGGTCGACTCCATGGCTGTTTTCACGTCGGCAGTTCAACCCCCATGACCTGTTTAAGGATCGGCTTGTCTATGACCGCGAAACGGCCAGGGGTGGATCGAAACGGCATCTATAAGTCGTTTCATAATCGGCTGTACACCAGTGTTTGGGAACCAGAATGCATGTTAATTGCTGCTTTACCATAAGATATTATACTCTCCACCAAAGTCTTGGAAGGGTCGAGACCCTTTCGCGCTTCACCGCGGTTATTCGCGCTTCACTTCCAGGAGGCAAAGACCTGCATCGGAGCGATGATAATGGAGTGCGGTGATCAGAAGAC